AGGCAGTGGAGTCGCAAGGCTGAGCCTGGGATCACAATATAGAGAAGTAGATAGTTTTAGGGATATCTGCTCCATGCCAGGGTAACACTTGATGGATCATCTATTCCTCACAATATGCATACATCTCTGAAAAGTCCTTCTCTCTCAAATTCTGGGCCTCTGAGAAACACGTTTTAAACTTTAACTGTCTGATCTTTGCTTTCTGCCACATAGCACAAGCTACTCAATGTCCAAGAAGGGCACAATTTATTTGTTTTCATTCCCTAAAATATAATCTTTCTCCCCTGTGGTACTGGGGACTGAACCAAGAGCTAGGCAAGCACTCTACCACTGAGCTACATCCTCAGTCTTTTTTTTCAGATTTTTATTTTAAGATAGGTCTCAGTTTCCAAGCTGGTCTTGAATTTGCTTTGTAGCCCAGGCAGGCTTTGAACTTAAGACCTTCTGGCTTCAGCTTCTGAGCTAGCTGGGATTACAGACCTATACCACCAAGTCTAAAATATAATCTTGTCTAATATTACTTTCTATGTTAGAATTACAGTTCTTTCCACAGTCTTTGACACCCACTTTACAGATGGTCTGTTTGTGCAAATGAACCACAGATCTAATCATATCCATTTAGTTTAATTTTTAGAGCTTGAGGGAGATATGCCACTGTTGCCCTCTTTATACCAGAAACACACACAAGGTGCTCTTGAAGCACTTTTTATTCCATGAAGAAAATTTCCTTTCTAATTTAATGAATCTAATAAATATTTGAAAGGGCCTAAGAGCTTAAAAAAAAGTAAGAGGAATGGCAGGGCATGGTGGTGCACACCTTCAATCCCAGCACTCGGGAGGCAGAGGCAGGTGGATCTCTGTGAGTTCAAGGTCAGCCTGGTCTACATAGTGAGTTCCAGGACAGCCGGAGCTACAGGGAGACCCTGTCTCAAAAAGACCAAAAAAAAAGTGGGGGGAAGGGGGGAATTATGAATAAAGGACAAAAAAACTCAATGTAATACCTGAAGTCCTCAAAGTTTTCACCATGCCCTTACTTTAGCTTAATCAATCAGTAAATCCTTTGGCATTCTCCTTTGAAATTCCTGTTATCCCCCCCCCCCCATTTTCACTGCTGTCAGCCTAGGCTAGGACTTGATTTCCTGACTGGATCACTCCAGTTTTCCTTAGGAATAATGGTGAATATCCTTATTGGCTTCAAGGTAATCTTGGGAAAAATAGCTAACACTAAATTTTCTTTCAAACATAAAATGAAGCCTATATAAAACCTGTAGGTTTTTGTTTGTTTTTGTTTGAGACAGGGTCTCCCTCTAGCCCCAGCTGTCCTGGAACTCACTATGTAGACCAGGCTGGCCTTGAACTCACAGAGATCTGCTGCCTCTACCTCTCAAGTGCTGGGACTAAAGGCGTGCGCCACCCCTCCCGGCAAACCTGTGTGTTTTACTGCTTCAGTTGCTTCCTTCATAAGCACTGATTTTTAGCTATAAGTACTTTTTTTTTTAACTTCAGTTCCTCTTGCTTCTTTTGCTTCAGCCTCCAAAGCAGCTGAGATGACAGGAGTGCAGCACCAATCCTGAGTAGGACTTGGTTTTTAATAATTTTTAATATTTTATTTTTATTTTATGTGTATGAGTGTAATGTCTGCGTGTAGGCAGGCACATGTGCGTCATGCAGTGCCTGCAGAAGTCAGAAGAGGGTGTCAGATCCTGGAACTGGAATTACAGATGGTTGTTAGCCACCATGTGGGTGCTGAAAATCAAACCTGGGTCCTCTGCAAGAGCAGCCAGTGCTCTTAATCATTGAGCCATCTCTCCAGCCCAGCATTTTTCTTTTTTTGGGGGGGGGTCTTTTTGAAACAGGGTCTCCCTGTAGCCCCAGCTGTCCTGGAACTCACTATGTAGACCAGGCTGGCGTTGAACTCACAGAGATCCAACTGCCTCTGCCTCCCAAGTGTTTGGATTAAAGGCATGTGCCACCACGCCTTTAATAATTATTTTTATTCTATGTGTATGAGTGTATTGCTTGTATGTATGTAACTGCACCATGTGCATGCAATGCCCATGGAGGACAGAAGAGGGTGTTGGAGCCCCTGGAACTGGGCAGATAGTTGTTAGCCACCATGTGAATGCCAGGAACTGAACCCAGGTCCTCTTCAAGAGCAGTCAGTGCTCTTAATGACTGAATCATCTCTCCAGGCCCACCCACACACCTTTAAAAAAAGTATGTGTAGCTGGGCGTGCTAGCACACGCCTTTAATCCCAGCACTTGGGAGGCAGAGGCAGTTGGATCTCTGTGAGTTCGAGGCCAGCCTGGTCTACACAGTGAATTCCAGGACAGCTGGGGCTACAGGGAGACCCTGTCTCAAAAAGACCAAAAAAAAAAAAAAAAAAAGTATGTGTATATTTGCTTGTATGTACATAGGTGCACCCTTGTTGTGTAATGTCCATGGAGGCCAGAAGAAGGCGCTGGATCCCTTGGAACTGGGGTTACATATGATTGTTAGCTGGCATGTGGGTATTGGGAACCAATCCCAGTAAGAGCTTTTGTAAGAGCTACCAGTGCTCTTAACCTCTGAGCCATCTCTCCAATACCCTACCCCCATTTTTTAAGATAGGGTCTCATTATGTAGCACTGATTGGCCTGGAACTCATTATGTAGGATCAAGCTGGTCTCAAACTCACAGAGATTCACCTGCCTCTGTCTCCTGAGTGCTGGGATCAAAGGTATTGTGCCACCATGCTCAGCAACTTAAACACATTCTTTTACCTTTGTAAAAAAAAAAAAAAAAAAAAAAAAAAAATCAATCATTTATTTGTGTGGCACGGTTTGTGAAAAGGATAACTAGGAAGAGTTGGTTCTCTCCTTCCAAAACATAGATTCCAACTTGGGTTGCCAGGCTTAGTGGAAAGCACCTTTAATTACTGAGCCATTTCACTGGCTTTTATGTTTGTTTTTGGGTTTTTTTTGGACAGACTTTCATTGAATCTGGAACGCTCCAAATAACTAGACTGGCTGGCTAGTCTCTGGGATCCTCATCTCCACCTCCCAAGTGTTAGGACTACAGGTACTCACCACAGAACCAGGCTTTTTATGTGGGTGCTGGGGATCTGAATTCAGGTCCTCATGCTTGTGGTGCAAGCAGTTTACTGACCACTATCACCTCAATCCAATATATTTTCTTTCTAAAAATGTTTTATGTGCATGTAAGTGTTTGTTGGGGGGTGGGGTGCGTGTGTGTGTGTGGAGGCTGGAGAACACAATCTTAAGGGTCACTGGCTAGAACTCATCAATTAGGCTAGACTGGCTGGCCAGTTAGCCTCAAGGATCCTCCTGTTTCCACTTCCTTAGTACAGGATTACAAGTAGGCAGCACCATGCTGGGCTTTTTTTTTTTCCACTTGAGTGCTAGGGATCAAATTCCGGTCCTTTGTGAGCACTTTACCAATGAAGCCACCTCTAGCCCCTCATCAATATATTCATAACTAAATACAAAGAACAGACACTTCTATTGGCTGGTACTAGTTGAATAGAAAAGCAGAATATTTTAAATGTCTTGTGCCAAAATGACAGAGTTAATTTTTCTTTAACTATATCTTGAATGTAACACAGTCAATTATGGCCTGTCCAAATTTTCTACCTATTAAACACTCAATACTTGCCAACTGAAATTTTTGATTTTTTGGCCAGGGTAGGGAAATGACCTTGCCTCAAAAGAAAAAAATAAAATAAAATAAAAGGCCAAGCCTTTTATTTTGCACTAAAGAATGAAGTTTAAAATGCAAACAGTTGTCACAAATTGGTTGTAGCTCTTTTGGTTTGAATTTTTAAAAGGTCAAACATTCCTCCACACTATAATAACACTTGGAATTTAGCTCTTTGCAGATTTACAGAGGGTTTTGACTGGCAAAGTCTAATTGAATCCAGGAAAGCCACATTAATATACTCAGCCAATCATTTAATGAGTGAAGGTTTTGGAAGGATTATTTGAAATAACGTTAAAATATATATATTTCAAGGATTATATGGAATTCCAACTAGTTCCAGCCCCTATTTATTTATTTATTTATTTATTTATTTATTTATTTATTTATTTGTCATTTTGAGACCCACAGCCCCAGCTGGCCTGGAACTCACTATGGAGACCAGGCTGGACTTGAACTCAGAGATTTGCCTGCCTCTGCCTCACGATTTCTGGACAACAGGCCTGAGCCACCAGGCCCAGCTCAAAAACTGATTAATTTTTAATATTTTCTGCACCTTAGCTCGATAGTCTTCTAGTTTAGTTTTTGCTAATCACCCTTGGTTTTCATATTGGCGGAATTCAAGGTTTACTAATCTTGTATTCAGGATCATAGTCTCGAAAAAAGATTCTGAAGTACGTCAGAACCCAAGTAACTACCTGCCCAGAAATCTGCAGCAGAAGCCAAGTGCTGCGCCCTTTTCCACCAGAGGGGTTTATATTAGGTGGAATTCAACCCAATCCGGGGCACGTCGACGCATACTGAGGGCACGTCCCCAAACCCCAGGGCACGCATTTTAAGTGCCCTAAACTAACCAAACAAGAATCAACGCCATTCCCCGCAACTTCTAGAACTTTAGGATATACGCAGAGGGCGTTGTGCTTTGATTCCATGTCAAAACCGCATTTCCATGTCCACTATCATTGAGGACTTGGTACATTTTCCTCTTTAAAAGATTACATGAAGCAGGGTATGGCTCATGCCTTTAATCCAGCACTGGGGAGGTAGAGACAGGCGGATCTCTGTGAGTTCCGGGCCAGTCTGGTCTACATAGCGAAACCTTGCCCCCCCACCCCAATGAGATTATCTGAAATGTGCATCGTGGCACTGGAGAACTTGACAGTTTACTACTACACTTAAATCCCAGACTTTCACTCTAGCGCTGATAACTCCCAGCCGGGAAGGGAAGAACTGAGAAGGACTACAGAGTGGAGGATTCTGGGGGAAGGAAGTTACGTCGGGCGCAAAGCATACTGGGCTCGGGCGGGCCGGCTCAAGGGTCTTTCTCAGTGTGTTTGCAGAACTGCGGATGTACCTAGGCGTTGTAGCTTGAGGGTTCTTGGTTTGTCGGGGTATTCAGTATCCTCAGCTGCAAGGCGGGAGGAGGACTCCAGCTTCACCGCCTCCTCGCTGTACCAGAAAACTGGCACGCGTCCCGCGAAGCACTGGTCCTGAGTGGGTGGGTGGATATCGGAGAACTCCGCAGCAGTCTTGGCGGAAAGCGGTGTAGTGCGGAACTCCTTTGATCGAAGGAAAGCCAGGGCGAAGGCTTTGAGCGTGATCCAAAGACCAGAGTGCAAAGCCAGGTGGAAAGCGTTAGCCCGAGTGGCGTGAAAGGGTGCTGTAGACACGTGCAAGATGAGTCTCAGGATTGCACTCGCGACCGTTCCTGTTCCCATAGCTCCCATACTGAGTTTTTTCTTAACTTTTGGGTTTTAAAAATATTTTTATTTTATTAGTGTTTTGCCTGCATGTATGTAAATGCACCGCGTGGTGCCTGATGCTAAGGAAGTGTGTTAGTCGCCATGTGGGTGCTTGGAACCGAACCGCGGTGTTCTAGAAGAGCAGTCAGTGCTCTTAACCGCTGAGCTTTCCCTCCAGCCCCCAGGCTGAATTATAAATAACTTTTATCTTTTTCTGGATGTGGTAAAAGCAAAATCTCAAGATCCGTCCAACCATAGTATCAGTTCCTTCTGTTGCATTGTATCATTCATAAGCCTTTTTTTTTTTTGAGATTGGAGGCTATATTAACTGGACTGGTCTCCAACTGATGATATCAGTGATCCTAGTAGATGGAACTGCAGGCGTGAGCTATCAGGACCGGCTCTCATGTATTAATGCTTGCTTGTATTAAGTAACATAAGAATTTGAGGCAAATCAGATGTTCCTTGCATTATAATGGAGTAAGACATTTGCTTGTTTGGACAATAGATACTGATTAACCCAAACTGTCATGGTTTTAGATATAGGCAGCTGATAACGATGAGTGAATGGATGAAGAAAAGCCCCTTAGAATGGGAAGAATATGTTTACAAGGAAGTCAGAGTGATAGCCAGTGAGAAGGAGTATAAAGGATGGCTTTTAACTACAGACCCAGTCTCTGCCAAGTGAGTATTCATCTTACTTCCCTGAAATGACAACTGTTGTACTGCCTGTGTATCCAAGAGGAGAGGCAGATCCAAGAAAGGCTAGTTGTTCTCACATAAAAACTGCTTTTGAGCCAAAGTGCTGTTTTAACTATGGATTACTGTATCAAACCAGACTCATTTATAGGAACAGAAAACAGAAATACCTCTCCTCTCTTTCCCTCCTTTCTCAGGTCTTGTGTAGCCCAAACTGGCCTTGAACTTGCTATGTAGCTCACAATGACCATAAACTTCTGATCCTTCTGCTTCCACCTCCCAAGTGCTGGGATTACAGGTGTGTGCCACCACATCCATTTTATGCCTTTATAAAGGTATATGCATGTTAGGCAAGTACTCCACCAACTGAATACACCCCCAGCCCTCCTTGTATGTCTTAAAAAAAACTTTAATTTTATTATTCTGTGTGTGTGTTGTGCACACACATGCCCTGGTGAATACATGGGGGTCAATGGACAACTTAGACTTAACAAAAGTAATAATGCCTTATAACTCCTAACAAAACTAATAATAATTACCTTAACATTAGTTAATTTCCTGTCAGTTCATATTTTCCTGGTTGTCTCAGAAGTTCCCTTTGATATTAGTTCAATTTGGTTATGTCTCTTTTAAGTGTTAGCCTATGACTCTGCCTTCTTTTTTGTTTTCCATGTCATGTATTTTTGAAG